GCATGTGAGAGAGTGTGTGTGTGTCAGAGACAGTGTGCATGTGAGAGTGTGTGTGTCAGAGAGAGTGTGCATGTGAGAGTGTGTGTGTCAGAGAGAGTGTGCATGTGAGAGTGTGTGTGTGTATCTGTGTGTGAGTCAGAGAGAGTGTGAGTATGTGTGTGTGTGAGAGAGAGAGTGTGCATGTGTCTGTGTGTGCGCGTTTTGTGATTTTCTCTCTCTGCACTCACCTCCCCTCCCTCTCCTCTTCCTGTGCAGAGGGTGCGGAGAACTGTACCAGAGCAGGCTGCACCCACCGATGTGCGGTCACCAATGCCGGGGTGAGCTGTTACTGCAACAATTCATACGCGCTGGCAGAGGACGGCAAATCATGCAGAGGTGAGTGGGTGCCGGGCCTCTGATGACCGATGTGCAAGAGTGCGCAGGGTGGTTGGCTGCAGAGAATACCCCCTCCCCGGGGTCCCGTTCAGCTTGGGCTGAAACGCTGTGTCGGGAACAGTTTGCCTGCAGCGCCACTTAATCTGAGATTACGCGTTGTAGCCGGCCTTCAGGTGACGCAGAGACAGGGGGAGGGACAGGTAGTGTTGAGGAAGGGCCAGGACAATGGGCAAAGAAGTCGCAGGTGGAACGCAATGCGGGGATGTTGGCGGGGGGGGGTCACGCGTTCTGCTGGGAGGTTTGCAGGCGCAGTCTGCTTTCTAAACGGAGAAAGGCTTTGCAAAATCTGAAGTACAGAGGCGAGCTTGGTGGTCCAGGATTCTCGTTAAGGGTCAGGATTGCAAGTGCAATGTCAGCGTTCATTTCCAGAGGGTGAGAGCCAGGGATGTGCTGCTGGGGACCGCGTAAGGATCTGGCCAGGCCGCGTTCGGAATATTGTGAGCAGTTTTGGGTCTGAGGAAGGACGCGCCGGCCTCGGGAGCTGGGGTGGGGGGTGGTCCAGGGGAGGTTCACCAGAACGATCCCCTGGGGATGGAGGGCTTGTCGCATGAGGAGGGGACATGTCCTCGCTGTGTGGTCCAGTCCACGACCTGAGGGCACGGTCTGAGAATGAAGGGGCACGCCAGTGTAAGCCTGATGTGAGGAGGGAGGGTGCTGAGTCTTTGGAAGTCTTTGCCACA